TACAATTTTGTCCTACCAATTTATTCCAATTTCCTTCTACAAATTTAATTACACTTTTACAGTGTACATGTTGAATATAGTATATAATTTACACATAACCACTGTTGCCGAATTTAGGCTTCCCCATACTTTGTTCTGGCTAAGCCACTACTTAAAATATATCCGAAGTAAAAAAGTTCTAGATTGAAGTGTTAAATTTTTTATATGTGTAGAAACGAATTTGATCTCGTCGAAATTATACCAATAATGAGTTATGCAAGAAAACTACTATAATATATTTAGTTTATAACCTTGCATACAATTATACTGATACAGCAAATCTTAATGGTTCACTTCTTCACTTTACGTTAAGTGATTTGTGAAATTATTTTTCACCTTACTTTAAAAAATCCTACTTCTATTTTCATTAGGAATATAATTTTTCAGTTATACTAGGAAGAAAACCGCACAATTTTACTCATGTTTGTATATTGTACAATAAACAAAATAGTACAGTGTCTTATACAATAATTTAAGCTTATAAATATATATTACCATCCAAAATTTTAATTACTTCTAAAAATCAATTGCTTTGCAAAAAATAATTACTAAGTAGGTCCAAGGCTTTGTAGCTATGTGAAATTTTATTCTTCTGTGCATTGGGCATCTCTGCGTAAGTAACATCATATCCAGCAGGCTGGAAGCATGGATCTCATCCAAAATTTCTGGGTCCTTTAGGGTTCACAATCCGTCCGTCCTCCGTCCGTGTCGGCTTGGAATAAAATCACTTCGTCATTTTCACCTCCTGGGTGATAGGCAAACGTACAAACGGCTTGAGCTGATTTATCGTCAAACCCTGCCAATAGTGTAGGTAAACCTTCTGGTCCCAATTTGTCAAAAAACCACTTGATGTAAGGTCCTGGTAAGCCCTTGAGGGCATTAAAGCATAAAGTCGTGTCTTCTATAATGATTGGTCTCTGTACATGGCTGTAGGCTTCCTTAGCTTTTAATATCGTTATTTCGTCTATTTCAACTTGTAACTCGGATAGATCCAATTCTTTACTGATAAGTTTTGGGAAGTCTGCGCCTGATATTTGTACGACTTCTTCTAATTTCTTGGGATTGTCCGTTACTAATGTGATCGGTTTCGACATTTCTTTTACGTTTTTATCACACGTTCGAAACGAAGTACACTCACATAAACAAAACATGTAGCACTTGGAAAATTGGATCAAATATGAATTTTATTACTTAGGGACTTGGTTTATATAAGAATCGTTTTTACCCGAGCAGTTATATTAAAGATTAACCCCTAATTTAAATCCAATTAAATATTAATATAATTACTATTACTTGGTAATACGGTTTAATTAAGGATCGTTTTTACCTGGAAGGGTATGTTAAACATTATACCATAATTTTAATTCCCTCGTATATTCATAATCCCCATATAATTGTTATTTCAGCAGATTTTAATAAGCAGATAAAATGTTTTACATTTTTTGTACCAAAATACAGATGATAAGAGCAACCAAATGATAAAATGTAAAAATAAATTAGCGTTGTTAGAATAAAAATTACTACTAGGTACCTATTTATGTTTATTATTATTTTTGTTATTTATCACAAAACCCTCTAAAGCAAAGCATTTTCTGAAATCCCCTTTACAAATTTTATGTACCTATTGTAAATTTTCTTTGATTTAGAAATATTTCATATTTCCTACTGTAATTTTGTCGTAATAGTTTATCCCAATTTCCTTCTGTAAAATTACCCTAAATTTTTTACAGTGTACATGTTCAGTAAGGGTGACTGTTATTGCATAAAAACAATCGATTGTGTAATATATGCGAAGACTTCAAGGACACATACCTATTTACAATTAATGGAATAATCCTTCTCCTGAGCATATAATACAATTTTTCTACTTAAGTGTGTTTTTAAACCGGAAATGCTAATAAGAAGGATGATGTTGTTCGATGTAATTTCCTCTGGATAAGGCGATCTGAACCAATAAGATAAATCTGAAATCTTAACAAATAATAGAAGAAATCTTACCTCCATCATCTTCTTAGTCAACGGTTTGACTACGTACCTGACCTTCATTATCAAAAAATTGTCGACCGATGCTTCCATAATTAATGGACCTTCTTTTTCTGTACCTAAATACGTTGGATTTTTTAGCTTTATGTCCAACTGCTATCTTCTTAATGAATTTATTAGTCTAGGATATTTCATCATCACAGCCAAATTGGTTTTCAGCAAGAAGTAGTAGCACCAAAGTGAAGAAGTTTCTTTGGTATTAAAATTGTGAGTGAAATAAGTGATTACAGTATTTATTTTAATACTTAGAGCTTTTTTGCGACACACCATTGCGTGAAATATTGTTGTGTTCCTTTTCATATCTCAGCCAGACCTTTCCGGCAGTCAATCTTCTACTGTTGCTTCTCTGATTTGGTGGAATTCATTTTTTATTATTTACAGTAACATATGCAAACAATTTGTCCACCTTAACCATGCCGTATTGTTTATGGCACCGACAGGAGCAACGAGGAAATTGTAACATCTAGCAAAGGTTGGAGCGTCGCCTGCTAAATCATTACATCCGTACTTACATAGCCGACGTGATCTAGCTGGTTATGGTTGGACATCTTAGGATGGTTTTATTATTGTTAATGTCGGAGAAATAGTTGTTTCAAATCCAAAATTACAGGCAATATCAAAGGGCTACAATGGCGTAATGTTTTTAAAAGGTGCTATAGACGGTGTTTGATTAAGGCCGGCCACCGGCTGTATTGGTCCTACAAATTCGGGGAAAAAAATTCTTATAATAAAAGTGGTCATAAAAATGTCATTAAAAATATTTTCATTTTCCGCAAATCTATTCAAGAGGGCGCAACTGATCAAAAAATGTTTAAAATTTACTTTAAATGAAAAAATGCCTTAAACGTGGATATATTTTTTCATCAGTTTTAATCGATAGTCCATTTCCTAAAACTTTTCCTAGTGACATTTCTTATTTTCTCGATAAATAAAAGGGTGGGATGATTTTTTTTATTATATTGAAAAAAATGCTGTATTTTCGGATCGCTTTAATGGATTTTTTTGCAATTAGGTTTGTTTAAACTACAATACCGTAGAGATTTAATAAATGTTTTAGTGATGGCAAAAACTTGGTTAATAAAGGTACAAAATGGCGATATGTTGAAACTTAACCCATTTCTTAATATTTCTTGGAAATTTTAAATAGGACGATATTCTTTTTTCTAAGTCATTATAATCAACATTTGTTAAAATAAAACTGGTCAAAACCGCATCTCGATATTTCAAACCGTTTAGGAAATATTTACATGTTCGTATTGTACCAAACGAAAGAGAATAAATTTTCATTCATTTTCATCGTGTCATTTCGAAACAAACGTATATTTATTTGCTGTTTCCGTAATTACATATTATTTTACAAAAACCGGCCCCTCTTCTCACTTTATCCAGATTTATTAAGAATTCAATTTTTTTTATCAATTGAATTAATTAAAATAGAGTTAATTATTCAATTCGAATTTAATTAGGTAATTAATGTAATCATTTGTTTCTTATTTTGATTTTCATGATCACCGTTCCCCACCTTTGAGAATGAAAATTTTAATTAGAATTCAATTCGAATTGAATAATTAAGTCGATTTTAATTAGATTGATAAAAAATCATATTTTTCGCCTAAGCAACAATTGATGCATTGGTTGCATATGCTAAAGGTTGAGAGTTTCACACCCACCGAGAGAACACTTTTTTTTAATTTTCTATTCGTTATATCATAACATTGTATTGACAAAAACGCCAAAATATCTGTATGATAAAATAGTATTTAGGCATAATGTACAAATAAGATATAATATGAAGCTTCATAAACACGCAATATCTATTTTTATTTGTTTTATGTTTAAAAGATCTTTTAGTTATTATATCTACAAAATTTATAATTTAATTCCAGACAATATTAAACATGTGGACAAACTACCTTTCAAGAAACATCTAAAAAATTAATATTGTAAGGTGAATTTAAAAGTACTAACTTCTAAATAAGCTGATTTAGTGTATTTAACCTATTTAATTTAATCTATTATTAGCAAATATTGTTTACTTAAGTAAATAAATTTAATTACAAAATAAATTTAACCCTCGAGAAAGAGAGGGTACCAATGGCTAAGTATAAGAGTGGAAGCTTACATTCTTAATGCAGGTGACTAAACTTCGCCATTTAACAATAATTCATCTAGGTAATAAATTTTATAATTGTTAAAATTACACTGATGCATAAAAATAAATGATGATAAATTAATAAGCATGCGAATATAAAATTACTATTTATTTAAGAAAACATCCATGTTATGAATTATGTAATTTGCACTATTTTTAGAAAGATCGCATATCGTAGAAGAAGTAATATGAACTTACTGTCATTCTATATCTGTGGTATATAGCCTCAAGAGGTGTTGCTGAGAGTATTGAATTTAATTATAATTAAATTTATACATCTCTATTTTTATTTTTATTGTGACCAAAGTTTTTCCAATTCACGTTAAGAAATCTCTGATTTTTTAATTTTCAATAATTCCAGTTCAACAAGAAAGAAAACATGAAATGTTGTATTTATTTTGTTTAATATATAATAAACAAAATATCAAAATATCTTACATATTAATGTATACTTATATATTTTATTATACAATTCAAAAATTGTCAGACGTCCACTAATATTTGTAAAAAATACCAATGTCATGCAAGAAAACTACTGTTATTTCTTTAATTTATATTCTTGCCTATATGGTAAAAATATTTTTCACGTTACGTTAAAAAAAATCTTTACTTTTAATTTTCAGTATATAATTTTCAGTTGAACTAGAAAGAAATACCATAACATTTTAGTTATGTCTTTATATTGTACAATAAATAACATAGTATAGTGTCTTATATAATAATTTATACTTATAAGTTACTATACAAACTTTCATTGCATTTACAATTATCTTCTCTGCAAAAAATAATTTCTGAGTAGGTCCAATGCTTTGTACCTGTGTGAAATTTTATTTTTCTCTGCATTAGGCATCTGGGCATATGTAACATCATATCCAGCAGGTTCGAAACATGGATCCCATCCAAAATTTCTGGGTCCTCTGGGATTCACAATCCGTCCATCCGTATTGCCTTGGAATAAAATCACTTCGTCGTTTTCACCTCCTGGATGATAGGCAAACGTACAAACAGCTTGAGCTGATTTATCGTCAAACCCTGCCAATAGTGTAGGTTTCACAATCCGTACATCCGTATTGCCTTGGAATAAAATCACTTCGTCGTTTTCACCTCCTGGGTGCTAAGCAAACGTACAAACAGCTTGAGCTGATTTATCGTCAAACGCTGCCAATAGTGTAGGTAATCCTTCTGGTCCTAATTTGTCAAAAAACCACTTGGTGTAAGGTCCTGGTAAGCCCTTGAGGGCATTAAAGCATAATGCTGTGTCCTCTATAATTACTGGTCCCTGTACATGTCTGTAGGCTTCCTTAGTTTTTAATATCGTTATTTCGTGAATTTCACCTTGTAATTCAGGTAGATCCAGTTCTTTGTTGATTAGTTTTGGGAAGTCTACGCCTAATATTTGTACGACTTCTTCTAATTTTTTGGGATTGCCCGTTACAAATGTGATCGGTGTCGACATTTCTTTAATGTTTTTGTCTCCCGCTCGAAAGAAGTACACACACAAAAACAGAACATGTAACACTTGGAAAACTGGGTCAAACATGAATTTTATTACTTGGGAACTTGTTTTATATTAGAATCGTTTTTACCTGAGCAAATATATTAAAGATTAACCCCTAATTTTAATTAAATATTAATATAATTACCATTATTTTGTAACACAGTTAATTAAATATCGTTAATTAAAGATCGTTTTTACCTGGAAGGTTGTATTAAACATTACACCATAATTTTAATTCCTTCATATATGTATAATCCCCATATAATCGTTATTTCAGCAGATTTCAATAAGCAGGTAAAATATTTTACATATTTTGTACCAAAACACATGATAAATGCAGCCAAATGATAAAATGTAATATTAAATTAGCAATTATAGACTGAGAATAGTGTATTTAATTGTAATTTTNTACATGTCTGTAGGCTTCCTTAGCTTTTAATATCGTTATTTCGTCTATTTCACCTTGTAACTCGGGTAGATCCAGTTCCTTGCTGATAAGTTGTTTTGGGAAGTCTGCGCCTAATATTTGTACGACTTCTTCTAATTTCTTGGGATTGCCCGTTACAAATGTGATCGGTTTCGACATTTCTTTTACGTTTTGTCACTTGCTCGATACGAAGTACATATACATAAACAAAACATGTAACAGTTGGGAAACTGAATTAGATATGATTTTTATTATTTAGGGACCTGGTTTATATAAGAATCGTTTTTACCTGAACGATGATATTAAAGATTAACCTAGCCCCTAATTTTAATCCGATTAAATATTAACATGATTTCTATTACTTAGTAATACGCTTTAATTAAGGATTTTACCTGGAGGGCTGGATTAATAAATAATTAGAGCATAATTTTAAATCCCATAGGAATTTATAATCCAGATGTAATTTTTATTTCAGATAAGCAATTTTATAAGCAAGTAAAATATTTTACATTCTCTGTACCAAAATACAGATGACAGAATCAACCAAATGATAAAATGTAAAATTAAAATAGTATTAACAGAATAAAAGTAATCATTATTTACCTTTATTGTTATTTGTGATATTTATCACAAAACTCACAGTGTGCATATTGAGTTTAAGTGACTCCCTACTATTTTGGACTTATTCTACAGAAAGAGACGCACAAGTTGAAACTTGTAGTGTTCATCCTTTTAGAGCCATCAAGTTTCCCGCTTCAAGTATTACACGCCCTTAATCCACCACTTATCCTTAGTTCTTGAAATTCAGCTGGATGTGCTTCCTCTTGCCCTTGTTAGAGCCCACCGAATTATTATGCCTGTCCATTATTTACTCTGCCATCGATTTTTACGAGCGACTGCCTTACGCTGGGATGATATTGAGAAATTCATAAAAGGTGAAACACCAAAAGGACCTCGTTGCCCTATTTCGCGACGAGGTAGAAGTTTCTCTTTTATTAGCGAAACGTACTTAACATCACCATACGACGAACATCAAATATTAATGGTTAAGGCCCGATTGCACTAACACTACTTAAATATTAAGCCGTGCTTAAGTTGCAAATTAATTCTTTACAGCTTTCACTTATGTTTTAAATACACTGTAAAAGAACTAAGTATATTTTCACTAAAATCAACACATTTTTTTGTTAAAACAAGTCGAAACGCAGTTGTGTGAAATAATAATACTATTCGCTGACTAATGTTCACTCAGCTATTTATTAACTAAATAAGTCTCATGTGAATAACATTGAATAATTTTTTTTATACACAACACAACATTGGGTATCTTACTAATATATTGCGTTGGGGTTTTCGCTATATGTTCAATTTAAACCAATAATGAATAAATAATATTTCAAATTCTATATATTTTTAATTACTTTAACTAGTACTATAGTATTATAATCAACGCAACATAGAGATATTTAGTCATATTTTATTGATTACTGTTATGTAATACTTTGCATAAAAAAAACAGTGAAGAACATTTTCTTCTTACGTCTAAACTGGTAATATCAAACCTTGTCAGCAACGTATTGTATTGAGCATCAAATTCTGGATAATTTCCAACTTCTTTAAAATACAAAAATTTTAAAAACTTACTCTGAATTCTTTCAATATTGATTTTATAACACTGAAAATATGGATTCCAAATGATGCAACCATATCCTAATTTAGACCTGACAAACGAATAATATAATGTGTTTAAAGTTTTAATGTTGCTAAAGTTTCTACAGTTTCTTACGAATACGATTTTGCTGCATCATTTATTTTAGTAAATATGTGTTCCCGAAAAGATAAACTATAATCAAAAAGTACACCAAGGTCCTTAACGGTTTCATAGCGAAAAAGTGTAATGTCAGTGGTAACATATTCAAAAGTAGATAATAGGTAGTCTCTTCTTGGTGTAAGAAACAATTTTACATTTGGGTATATTAAGACGCAATTTATTATTTGAACACCAAGTTTGCAAATTGGTTAAAGTATTATTTATTATTTAAATGTAATTTATTACGTATATATTTTCAACGCGAGTTATTCAAATTCAGAATAAAGAAATACTGTAACATTAGGTTTCCACTGATGACATATTTCTGGTAATATTTGAGTAGCCAATTGGTCCCTTATCAAGTAATTTGTGGTTTGTGGTTTGATGCACACTCAAGTTAGTGAAGAGAATGAGATGAGGGCACCCTAGTTGAGTGAAGCAGAAGTTTGATATGAGTGAAAGGTTAGTATAGATTTAGGGAAGTCTCTGAGTTTGGCCCTTATAAGATTAATAAATAAAATAACATAGCGTTGCTATGGTAACGCTTTTTTATTTTATTTATTTAGCCGATAGCAAACCACGATTTTTGCGTTCGTAAATGGGCTTTTTTATACTCACTCATATACAGGCTGTTACAAATTAGTAGGTCAACCCGTTAACCACATATTCTTTGGACTAAAATAATGTAACTTTTCATTTCGAAGCCCCGTTTTCAAAATACAGGGTGTCAAAATTAAAATTTAAAAATTGATTTTTATTGATAACTCCGGCGATTGTAGAGATATTTATTTGAAATTTAGCACATATATTGATTTTAAGTCGGCACACTTTTTGTGTAATTTTGGTTTAAAACATCAAAGCGCGAACGGAGGGGAGGGGAGTTACTGTACCCATAAAACCCATTGTTTTTTTTAGTACGCCTATGCTTTGCGAATATTTTTTTAGATAAAGCGGCATTTTATTCGCTCTTGTAAGATTTTTATTTAGGGCCTCGTTTACGGGATATTGTAACTTTTTTGGATACGCAACATCAATTTAGCTGACGTTAGACTTTATTTTTTGGGGCTATATGAAAGATTTGAGTCGTCTTATTTGTTTCAATGTACTGAATAAATTGGAAATGATCATCATCATGATCAGCGATATTTAATTTGAGCTAAATCTAACATATTTAAAAAAGTTGCAAATCTCGTACAGCAAACCCCAAAATATGTATTTTCAGTCTAATGTGTTCTTTGCCTCATACAATTCGTTTATTTAACTGTTGTTTAGTTAGTAATGGTGCCATTTAAAATAAATTTTTCATGAAATTCCAAAAAATGTATGTCTAACGTCAACTAAATTGATGTCGCGTATCTAAAAAGTTAGAATATCTTGTAAACGAGGCCCCAAATAAAAATCTTACAAGAGTGAAACATATCTAAACAAAATATTCGAAAAGCATAGGCGTACTCAAAAAAAAAATAGGGGGTCCATGGATACTGCAAGCCCCCTCCCTTCCGTTCGCGCTTTGATATTTTAAGCCAAAATTTCACAAAAAGTGTGCCGACTTAAGATCAAAATATGTGCTAAATTTCGAGATCATATCATATAAAGATGGCGTTTAAATGAAAAAATTATAACATACTTTTTATAGAATATTCTCATTCTTTGAATATTTTAATTTTTTTTCAAAAGACTTTGTTTCAATTTACTCATCCGTCGTATAGCCCTCCATTTTGTCTAACCACAACGTATTTACTACAACATGTGACCCTCTACAATGCTACCAACGCTCCGCAATGAAAATGGCGCACAATTCAAAACCTGTGTTACATTTTTGACTCCCTCTATTAAACAAATATACTGTAATATAATTTAATGTGTGTATGTGTGTTGATTTTAATTTTTATTTTATATTGTACAAACTTTAATATGCCTGTACTCAATAAACAATTTTAGTTGGGCGCCTTTGTTTTAATTTTTCTGTGTTTTATGTAGTGTAAATGTGCTTTTGGTGTGTAAATTGTAATCTTTATTTTTCTGTGTGTATGTGAATTTGTTTGTTGTTAGTGTGTGTTTTCTTAGTGTAGATTGTATTTTTAATTAAGCTGTAAAATGTTCCATACAAACCTCTACTATCTTTTATGTCTTACCTTCTACTTTCTTATCCCTGACCAGCTATTGGTATATACTTGTTATGCACTTTGGAATGAATAGAGTTTGAAATTCAATAAAGTGTTTATTCAAAAATTTGTTATACTTATGACTATACTTTATACTTTATACACTCAAATTAGGTATACATTTTTATATGTATTACGTTTTCCACAACAAAGAATATTTAATAACAAAATTTGCCTTTTTTCGGCTCAGCTTACAAACAATATAAGGAATAATTATAAATAAAAATTAACTATTAACTAACTTTATTTGATCTATGTAATACCGAGTACGTTTCCTTATATTATTTATTGCCTATCAGACAGGGGCATCCCTTATATCTACACAGGAACGAAAATGATTCAAACTAAAGTAAAATGGCTATTCATTTGACAGATTTTGTCAGAACTCGTGAAAATAGTGAAATATTTAAGATTACAAGTGAATGGATTATGCTTATTTCTGTACAGGAAAATTATGTGGTTTGTTATTTATACTTTGCAAAGATTTGATGCGAGAGAAAGCATGATTTCTTGGTGATAGCTAGCAATATTATAGTGCACTGTGTTTTAGGTACCTGGTACGTTGTAAAAGGTAAGTTTTCTTTGCTGGAAACTACGTAGAGGCCTTGCAGACTATTTATAGGGCCACTGGAAACTGCTTTGTAACTACTTTATACTGCTGGTGGCGGAAAATATTCATGAGATGACAAAATAACTTTCTCCGGACTCTAGCAAACTGTGGGTTTAACTGGTGAGTGTTTATTTTTTTTGGACTGTTTTTTCTTGCATTTTTCGGGAGCTGCCTCTCCACGCTGTACATCTTGCAAAACCCAAGCCGTAACCAATCAATAATTTTTTTGTTTTTTTTATCCTTCCTGAATCTTCTGTCCCTAGCTTTGCTTAAGGTCCATACATATAATTTTTCAGTCTTTGGATGTCTATTTCAATGACTTTTTTACAACACTACTTATAACTGTACTTGAGAATAAAATTAAAAGATTATTATTTTTATACTATGTAATATCATTAATCATTACTAGTTTTACATCCAGAATATCCATATTAACAATTTTAAACAAATTTGGTGTTGCTATAATAATTATTAAAATTTCTATACGACTTTAAGTTAGGTCAGGCAATATTTTCATATGAGTTTCCACATGAACATTTCAAATTCGTTACAATACATTAACTTAGATATACAT